TGCCACTGTCAAGGAAATAACAGAATGGGCTCAGGAATACTTCCAGAAAGCATTGTCAGTGAACACAATCCACCGTGCCATCCGCCGTTGCCAGCTGAAACTCTACAGTGCAAAGAGGAAGCCATTTCTAAGCAAGCTCCACAAGCTCAGACGTTTGCACTGGGCCAGGGGTCATTTAAAATGGAGTGTGGTAAAATGGAAGACAGTTCTGTGGTCAGATGAGTCACGATTTGAAGTTCTTTATGGAACACTGGGACGCCATGTCATCCGGACCTGAGAGGACAAGGATAGCCCAAGTTGTTATCAGCGCTCCATTCAGAAGCCTGCATCACTGATGGTATGGGGTTGCATGAGCGCTTGTGGCATGGGCAGCTTGCATGTCTGGAAAGGCACCATTAATGCAGAGAACTATGTTCAGGTTCTAGAACAACATATGCTCCCATCTAGACGTCATCTCTTTCAGGGAAGACCCTGCATTTTTCAACACGATAATGCCAGACCACATTCTGCAGCAATCACAACATCATGGCTACGTAGGAGAAGGATCCGGGTACTGAAATGATCAGCCTGCAGTCCAGATCTTTCACCTATAGAGAACATTTGGCGCATCATAAAGAGGAAGGTGCGACAAAGAAGGCCCAAGACGATTGAACAGTTAGAGGCCTGTATTAGACATGAATGGGAGAGCATTCCTATTTCTAAACTGGAGAAACTGGTCTCCTCTGTCCCCAGACGTCTGTTGAGTGTTGTAAGAGAAGGGGGATGCCACACAGTGGTAAAAATGGACTTGTCCCAACTTTTTTGGGATTTGTTGACGCCATGAAATTTGGAAACAACAGATTTTTCCCTTAAAATGATACATTCTCTCAGTTTAAAGTTTTGATCTGTGGTTTGTGTTCTATTCTGAATAAAATATTAGATGTTGGCACCTCCACATCATTGCATTCAGTTTTTATTCACAATTTGTTTAGTGTCCCAACTTTTTTGGAATCCAGTTTGTAAATTAAGTCCATGATGAGTTCATGAAATGTCCGTCTTCTTGTGGTAAAAGGAGTAAGTCAATATGTATTACAGTCCCCGGACCCTTCCAGGCTAACCCAGAGCTGTTCACAACGTGCTGCCGCAGACGAAATTCGCCCAATGGGAGCCTGCCAGAAATGGGGGATGGGGCGGGGGGTACCCTGCACGGGGTAATCTTCCGCCGCCGAGCAGCCGTCCCTTCCGGTTGAATCCCCTGGGCAGACTGCGTGGACTCCACAAACTTTCTTTCTACTGCTCGATTACCGTTTTGGGCTGCATATTTTATTACCTACAGTTTGTAATCTGCAGAACAGCATTTTCTCCTTTTTTTTCAGTTGTCTCTAAGTGAATGTTTGGTGGGGGGCATGTTAGCAACAGGGGTCTGCAACCTTTATGATTAAAAGAACCTTTTTTTGCCTTCTATTACTACATTAAACGTGTCTGGAGCTGCATTAACCTGGTACAACTATGGTTATCAACTTGTGGGCATGGGCAACTTTAAGGTTTGCTTTAAGGGGCTTTTGCGGCCAGTAAGGGTGACATTATATAAAGCAAAACATAGCTAAAGATTTTTAACATTTATTAAAGAAAAAGACCAGATTCTTATAAAGAAAGTGGAAAAAAAACATCAGTTTTTACCTTTTTTAAATTAAAAAATCTATAAACTATGCAGACAGTTTTTCATATAAAGAAATAAAGCATCACGTTAAAGCATGTTTTACTCCTTGTACTCGTGCCAGTGTTCACATATTTGCAAAAGAAATGACAGGAAAACATTTTGAACTTGTCCTGTTTTGTTGATTGTATAACAACCAATAAAATTCAGTTGTTAGTTTTGGTCAAAGCTTGAAAGTGTCGCTGCAGAGGGACTAAAGAGCCGCATGTGGCTCCACAGCCTCAGGTTGCAGACCCCTGCAGTAGAGGAACACCATATAGTTGTCAAAAGCCTAGAGGGCCCTCTCGTGGCTGCAAATGATAATGTTTACCCTTTGGTTCATGTCGGTATGAATTAACATTTAAAGGGTCAGTCAAAAATTGCATCATGAATAGGCAAAAAACCCATATAAGTCGCTTCGAACTATACGTAGCAGGACCGGCCAAACTAGGAAAAAAAGAGCGACTTATAGTCCAGAAAATGCGGTACACAGTATACTCCTCTTTACATGAAAACCTTTGAGAAGTGACCTGTATGCAGGAAAAAGCTCTCAAATGTGTGGTATTGGTGTGTGTGTGTGTGTGTGTGTGTGGGGGGGGGGGTTCTCTAAGTGTAGAAAAGATTTTAGTGAAAATATTATTTTCTGCTTTAATCCATGAAAGCAATAAATGGCTGAGCTGCAGCATATTTAAAACAGTTAAGTGTCCCATCTGACTGAACACCACTCTCAACAGGCTAGTTGTTTCAAGAATCTGTGAAACTAGAATGGGAGGGGCAGCCTTTAGTTTTTAGGCTCCCTTTCTTTGGAATCATTTCCCTGCTTTGGTACAAAACACAAATTGTTGGTCTTTGTTTGTCAGGGAGCTATCGCAGAGTTTGAAGTTTGCCCCAAGGACAACCCCTCCTATGTGTGCAACAAGAAAACCAGCTGCAAGAGCTGTGCTGTAGACCAGAACTGTCAGTGGGATATTCGCAACCAAGAGTGCATCTCACTGCCAGGTAAGTTCACTGGAAATGGAGTACAGTGTTTCTTCATGAACACATGAAGAAAATTGTAGCATTTTTAAAAACACATTAGTGCAATACTATAATTTTATCTCATTCATCTTTGTTAAGAGAACCCGTCCATCATTAAACAGTGGTGGAGCCTCTGGGTTCAACTGTCCCCCTCTTACAATGCTGTGATTGCTAGTATCACTCAGCCCTCTGTGAACAGTAAACAGCCATCAGAGCACTAAAGATCCATCGTTAGGCTGATGGTCCTCCTCGATCATGTGAACAGCTAGTTCTGGATGTCTCAAACTGGTTGATCCACTATGATAAGGTGGTATTTATAAGACTGAGTTTGTTGCAGCTCCTCAGAGTGATGGATAAAAAACACAATGTTTCAACATTTTTTTTAATCTGTCCAGAGAACCTGACTTAAATTTGTTAGTTTTCTGCCTGGATTATTGAGCAGCATCAGGATGTTTTCTGCACAGTATTGTAGATCTTATTTTACTTTGTGGATGTTTCATCAATCTGGGCAGTACCTTTAGTTCTTACGCCTGTTTTCATTGTTCCAGAGAATGTGTGCGGTGAAACCTGGCACTTGGTTGGCAACTCTTGTCTGAAATTCAACACAACCAGTGAGTCTTACGATAATGCCAAGTTGGCCTGCAGAAACCACAACGCTGTTCTGGCCTCCCTCACCACACAGAAGAAGGTAGACTTTGTCCTGAAGGAGCTGCAGATCATGAATGTGATGGTAAGGAGGAGGGGAATGATAATTATCTGATCAGAGACATCTAATATTTGTAGCTTGGAAATGGGCTGGAAGTAAATCACATGCAGATGTTACATAACGTGCCCAGAGCATCAAAGGTAAAGCAGAAGCGCATACCTCACAAATGGTAAAGAATATAAATTGGAAATGGTGTAGAAAGACTTCACCCAACAAGACAAGAGTGGATCAAAAAATTAAGCCTAAGCTAACTGCATTTTAACTACAGTAGTCCCTCGTTTATTGCAGGGGTCCCCCCAGCAGTAAGTGAAAATAAAGTAAAGTGTAAAGTGCCCTGAGACAACTTTGTTGTGATTTGGCGCTATATAAATAAACTGGATTGAAATTAAATTGAATTGAATTGAAAATTCATGAAGTATCGATGTTATATTTATTTTAGTTTTTATATACATTTTAAGGCTTTATAAACTCTTCCCACACTCTTGCAATGTTCTAAACTATTAAACCCACATAATTTTAACATGCATACAGAACTGTCACTGTGTATGTAGCTACTAATTTTTACTCACTAGCTCTGCAGAACAGCAGCAGCTTGGTTCTGTTCTGTTCCGGTCTGATTATTTCCGGGCAGTGCGTCCCCGCTTGGGGGTCCTCGTGGGCCGGCTACCAGCTCTCAGGCTTGCCGATGAGTCTGCAGGTCCGTTTCTGCTCAGGTTCTGTGCAGCCCTTGAGCGCCGAGGCACATTCTTTTGGGTGGTGGGGGCTGCGGGCTCGGACCTTAAGATGGCCAGGCACCAAATTGAATCCAAATCTGGATGAAAAAAGTCCTGGTGGGCTCTGGAGAGAAGCCGGACCTACGGCTATGTGTCCCTGTTCAGAAGTCCTCATGGACAGGCAAGCAGCTCTCAGATTCACGATGGGTCTGGAGGTCCAGTTCCTGGTGGGTTCCATGCAGCTCACTGCATCTGCCAGGTGCTGAAGTCACAGTAATAAGTGCCAAACTTTTTTGGATCAGATCAAACCTTTCCCTCTTGTATTTCAGCAGAAGGAAACAGGGCTTCTGAGTGGGCCACTGTTGACTTCTGGGCAGTGTAGGCTTTGAGTGGCGATAAAGTGTAGGCTTATTGAGAGGAGACTACAAAATGGCGGCGCCTGTCCCAAGTGTTTTATTTTTTGTTAACTTTTTACTGTACAGTATCAGTACTGTCCCAATCACGTGAGTAATATTAAAGTTGACAATCATGTCCTGAACAAATTTTTTTTGCACATGTTCAATCTTTCTTTGAAAAACTGTGAAAGAGCGAGTCCGCGAAAGTCGAACCACGAAGTAGCGAGGGACTACTGTATATAATCTTTTGATATCTTACTACTGTTGAATATTGAGGGCCTTTTAACATAGTACTCGGTTGTTCTATTTCGTATAGGCTTCACCCTTTAAGACTGTCGCTAGTGGGGTTTATCCCTACGCGCGCAGCACTGAAATCTTTAGTCCACGGCCACCTGCTGTGTAGGCCTCACCCCCGGTCCGTATAAATTACGGTGAGACCGGGTAATCGGCTCCCATTTTTTCTTCAGCCAGCTAGCTAGCACTGTCAGAAGAACGAAGAAGGAAAAGTTGTCCAGCTTTGACCGGCACAACCTTTGCTAAGGATGCCTGGGTCTCCACCACACCAAACTCCTGCCATCCCGGTGAGCTCTTCCTCCCCGAGGAGAAGTAGACGAGCAGCCTGGTTCAAGGTAAGCGCAGAGGAGTGCTTTTCTGTGTCAGGCCGCTACCCGCTGGATGACGCCATCGCCGTTTCTAACGTGTTTTCCTCGCGGTAATGGAATGATTTCCTCAAGAAGGCGATGTTAGCAGCAGCCCCGCTGAATGTTTTTCCGAGGAGGGCCGCTACTCGCTGGACGACGCCACCGCCTTTTCTAACGTGTTTTTTCACGCGGTGAATCGGATGATACCCTCGAAAAAGGCGTTGTTGGCAGCAGCTCCGCTGAGTGTTTTTTTTTTCTGTGGCGGAACGCTATGCGCAGGACAACGCCACCGCCTTCTTTGACAGAGAGTCACACAGTGAATCGAATGATTCCTCCGAGAAAGGCGATGCGGAGCTGCCCCCTCCCTCCTGGAGAGCGTAGTGATGGAAGACGAGTGGCCAAGCAAATGCTCAGCCACCTCGGATCTTCCCACGTTGGTGACCACACCGCTCCCAGCCATCGGCGCCCTCCTCTCGGAGCTGCCTGGCATAATCCAGGAGGATGTTAACACAAGGACTTTCCATCCCTCGCCTCCCTCTGCCCTGATCGGATGATCTGGCAGCAAGGTTGGCTCCGCCCGGGCTCGTCGCACTGACTCCATCTGGCCTTGCCGTTCAGCTGTGACGTCACACTGGAACGAGGCTGCAGCTGGGCCCGGCAAGCTGAAGACAGCCGTCTCCACCTTCGCCTCCATCTCCAAAGTGGAGCGTTTTACCGATCGGTGTTTTTCCCTCTGTCCCCTCCCTGGAGCCAAGCCTGGCGGTGGCACTTGGGACAAAAGCTTCCAGGATGGACCAGCATCCTGTCCCTCCAGGGAAGCATGACCAGATGGTGACAAGGTCTCCAACTGAGGTCACCAGTGCTCATTCCAGATGGCCGCAGCGAACAACAATGTCGCCCTGCTGGCCTACAGCATCTCTAAGAGGCTGGAGGAAGCAGACATGCTGGAGGAGACAAAGAGCTCTCTCTGTAAAGCTGCTGATGTCATCTTAAACAAGTGCCACCTCTGCGGTCTGCCTGTCCCGCATCGCCGCCTGGATGACCGTGATCCAGAGGAACACTTGGCTCCGCCTCTCGCCATTCTTGTCTGAGAGGCTGCAGAAAGACCTGTTAGAGGGCCCCATCATCCCAGAGGCACTGTTCAGGCCAACTTCAGGACCATCCTGAGAAATCACAGAGGTCCGAGGAGGTATGAAAGACTGTACACCATCTGGTGACGTCACAGTCCTCCGGCAGCTGGAGGGACCGCCTTGGCCAGCAACAGCACCAGAGGTGCTCCACAGCTGCGGCAGCAACTTCACGCCCCGCTCCTCCGCCGGCCACCTCCACCAGGTAACAGATCCTTGAGGGGAAGGTATGTGTTTTTTGATGATGCATGTTTTTTGATATAAAACAGAAACATCTCTGAAAGTAAAGTTTTCATCTGAGACTGTCAGATCAGCTGATCTCTCAGCTGCCTCTCTTCACACATTCCCCACACAGAACGAGCCAGTAACCTCTAAACAGTGTTTTAAATGGCACCACAGTTCAGTAAATATCACAAAACACTCGTCTGCCACGTCAACTAAAATGATGTGTTTTCAGCAGACCGAGTCCGGTAAAATCCCTCGTTTTCAGCCATAGCCCATTTTTAATTTCTGCTGTTTTCTACCCACTCACAGCGCAGTGGGAGTAAATGTGTTTTCTCCACAACAGCTGCAGCCTCCACCGAAACGGCGTCTCACTCAGAAAGCGCTCACGCCTCCTCTCAGTGTGCGCCGGCTCACCTCAGCTCTATGTGAGACCGCAGCCTGGGCTCAGCACAGAGGCACACATACAGCCCTTTTTTCTGTCGGAGCCCTCCTCGGGTTCTCCCGGAGAATCTCCGGAGCGAGTGTTGCCAGTAAGGATTTTTAGTCTGGTTGACGTTCATGAGAAACATGACACAACACAAATGCATGCCCACTCTCCGAGCGTTACTCAGAGTGGCAGCGAGTGTGTTCCCTGGACAGATGGACGGACCGCCTGATCAGAAGGGGTTACACGCTACAGTTCGCAGCTCAACCCCCACCGTTCAGAGGGATTATAGAAACGGTTCCGTCTTCTCCAGAACAGAGCTCGTCTCTCCAGTCAGAAGTTCAGGAATTTCTGACGAAAAACATGATTTCCAGAGTTCCCAACGGAGAGGAAAATACGGGGGATTTTCCTCCCACTACTTCCTGTTCCCATGAAGTGGGAGTACAGTGGCTGGACCACATGTCGCTTTACATAATGTGCTAGAATGTTTCACGGTCTGAAACGTGACTCAGCATTT